GCAGCCAGGCCCCTCGTGCTGGCGGTGCCCCCAGAGCCCTTGGTGACCACGCAGGTGAGCAGCGCTGCCCCTCGCTGAGGGCACCCCCTTCCTTCAGGAGCCTGAGGGACCCTCCCCGGCCTCCAGCCTGAGGGGAGCTGGGCCCCCACGCAGGCAGCAGTGCTGGGCAACCGAAAATACCCATAGATTTAAAAAAATTGCGTTTAAGGACGTCCAGTTATTCAGTAAGAAATTATTATCTTTATTTATAAAGCAGTAATCAAAGTGTTTGTAACATCGTTGTGAAATGTTGTGATCTGTTCCTGGCTGCTGCCTGTGGGGTGCATGGCCCTGGGGTGGGGGGGGTGCGTGGGTTTTACCAGGTGTGAGGCAGTGAAATGCTCTGAGATCCCCCAGTGTCCTAACCCAGCAGCTCCCTGAGTCACGGATCGCAGGTGTGGCCAGGGTAGGAGAGTTATTGCTGATTTATTCCTCTTTATTCCTGATTACATGAGGAGCTGGGTGCTAGCGGTTTGTAGGAAAACCAGGATCACGTAAAGTGCAGCTGGTAGGCTTGTGGTTGTTTGGGCTAGGGGATATTTCAGTTGGCACTCTGCCCTCATATGGGGGGGAAAGAAAAAAATAATCCCTGTTGGTTTCTGGCTTCCATAAGGAGTTTTCTTGCCTTAAATGTGCTTTTTGCACTCATTTCAAAGCAGCACTGAGCATTAGTAAGGAGAGCCTCACCTGTGCAGGGATGACATTTGGAGAGAGAAACTGGAAGAGACTTTCAAATGCAGCCAAGTGACTACCTTTAAATCATCCCTAATGGGAGGACACATGTAACCTAATCTGAGTTGCTCAGAATACTGAGGGCGTACAGAGACGCGTACAGGGCTGCCATGGCCGAGAAGGCTTTTTCCGTACAGACAGCAGATCCGTCCTTATGGAGCTTCACTCCGCTCATCTCAACCATTGCAATGGTTAATTCTTGTTCCTTCTCTCGGGAGAAGGAGAGCAGGCTGGCATCCACGCTGAAACGCCCCTTCCCGTGTTCCAAGATGCTCCCAACCTTTGCAGCAACAACAAAAAAAGCAAAATTAGTATTTTAAGGCTCCCATCTGTGGAAGTCGTTAAGTTAGTAAATGATTTCTTTGGCTTGTGAGGTGCTTTACCATCTTACAGGTGCACTAAATAATCCATGTTTATTTATGGGACTTTTCCCCCTGAAAGTTTGTCCTGCTTGTGTGTGCAGTTCCCAGTTTCTTGTCAATTCACGATGTCCAAGAAATTAACATTCTAGTGTGGTTTTGTGTTGATTTTTTTAAGTTTGGAGCCAGAGAAGCCAGAAAATTCTGACTCCTGTTTCAAGAGAAATGGTAGTCAGCTGTGTCCCATTTAATGTTTGTTATCAGCAGAACACTTGTTAGAAATCTCAGGTCTTGATGTTTTGGGGTGGTTTCTCTCAAAGTGACTGTTTTGGTCTTGCTAAGCTTGAAGCAATTATTCCTTCCCTTCTTTCTAGTGTAAGTTGAGATACTGATATCTGTATCATCATCTAAATGTTGCTTTACTTGAGTTAACACCTCCTCTGCCCGTTCATTTTGAGGCAGAGGTGGTGCATGTTCTCTTACCAGCTTAAGCTGTTGGGACACAATCTTGTCTTCCAAGGACTCCAGCAATAGCAGCCTCTGATCCTCCGTTAGCTCTGCAGAAGTAACACAGCTTTGTACCAAAAAACACCCACCAGTGTTTCAGAGACAGCTGGCGAGATGGGAAGGGTGACCGTAACTGGCTTCCAGGGAATGCCTGCTTGGTCAAAACCTCTCCAGACGTTTTAAACTGAATTATTTGCGCAGGCTCCCTGTGAGAGGAATGCGGCCATTCCTCTGGGTACGGGTGACTCTGACATCGAGTGCGGAGACCAAGGGGGGTGAGGGCAGGTTCAAACCAAGTTTCGTGGCAACCTTGGGAAAAGAACCCTGGAATTTGCACTGCTCTTCCTGTGAGGTAATCTTGCCATCTTTACCTACATCTTAATTCTGCTTTCAAGCCCCCTTTTTCAAGGATCCCCGTGTGCACGCTGTTCCTGGAGCGAGTGGTTGTTTGGTGTCGTGCTCCTGGCAGTCGCTGCTCTGTGACTCTCCAGCTGTGCTGCTATGGACAGCTCTGTGCTCTCAGCATAAACCACCTTCATTCCCATTCTTCATTTCTAAGAAATTATTTTACTTAAATCCCCTGCAAGTCTCTCATGCTCTGGAAGTTTTCTATAGTCTGTTAGTCTTGTCAGTAGGATGCTCTAAATATATTCTAGTGCTACTGGAGTTCTCTGTTAAAAGGGCCAGAAAGCCTTACCATCTAACGCGTCCAGGGTGTAGGTGATTGCTCCTGCCAGCTCATGGAGAAGATGGATTGAAGAATCCTGCAAGCTGCTCAACAGGTCTTTTAACTCTGGGCTTTCTGTTTCCAGCTCACAACTGCCGGGTTCATCAAGAACTGCTTCCATCTAGGGGGAGAAGAAAAAGAAATGTCGGGATTTAAGGGAAGAGGCTGTGGATAGTCCCTTCTGGTCTAACTACAGAAGCATATGAACAGTCATGTCGTGTGTCTCCCCTCTCTAAGCTATTTACGAGGCTGTCATTGAGGCTTTATCGTTCACACAGGCTCCAGTTAAAGAGAGAGTATGAAATGTAAATGGTTTGATACTGTCAGGTAAATCTGCTGGGCTATGTTCAGGACATATTTCAGCAGTTGACTCTGTGCTGAGCACCTTCTTTCTCTCTGTGGTGATGAAGAGCAGACGTTTTTGGATGGATAGTTGTGGCACAGGAGACATGAATTCTGAGGCAAGAGGTATGACTGTGGATGTGTCTCTGTTTATAAATCCTGGCAGTAAGAAGAACTTTGCTTACTTTGTGGGTCAGCTCTTGAAAGAGGTTCCTGTCTTTCATCACAGCTTTGATGGCTTTTAGAAATATGACGAACAGATCAGAAGATAACGTGCAGAGAATTTGACAATTTTCTTTAACTTCTACCTCCACCTCTCCTAAGTTTCCTTGTGAGAAACCTGAAAACCAGAGAATCCAAATATGTCACTTGTAAACTAGGCAATCCCACAAGAAGTTCATTGCCACCCCTAAATTTAGAATTTGAACATTTTAGTGAATATTTTTCAGAAGAAATATGCAATTTTGATTGGGGTGGTTGTCGTGTCTCGGGTAACAGGCGGTACTATACAGTAAACACGCTAGTTTGTATTTATCTTGTGAGATTATGTCTTAACCAGAAGGGTAAAAGTGGAAGTAGTAAAATACCTTGCTTACCATCAGATACGAACTTTAATGTACTTTTTTCTGGGAAATATTCAAGATCTGCAACAGGATAAAAAGGACATTGCTGATTTAGAAAAGTACTTAAAGCTGGATAGGTTTGGTTTGTTTTTTTTTTTTTTTGTTTTTTTTTTTTTGCCAGGGTTGTTCTTAAGTCTGAAGATACTGGTATCCCCGGTCTGAAACCTCATGTGCTAGTCGTAGGTCAGACTGGCGTTTGCACTCTTCTCCAGCACATCTGTCTTCTGCCCGTTCGTTATTCCTAGACCTCATTCTCTACAGCCTTGTGTTAGGGTCTGTGTCAGTCAGTGTGTGAAAATGAGTAAATTAAAACGACAGCTTATACTCAACAAGATCCACGCAGGCGTGGGAAGGACAGAGCGTAGGAGAAGCAAGTCAAATGTGGCCTTTAAAATCCTGCAGCAGTTTTTTTGGATTGCAGTCCTCTCTTTCTCTACGTATCCAGCATAAGTGTCTTTTCCACTAGTCTTCCCACTGAAGGGTCAGCCACCCTGTTTTCTCCCTCGCTCTTTTCTTCCAAGCAGGAGAAGAAAGCAAACCAAACCTCTGTCCTCTGTGCCATTTTTCAACAGGGGCTCTGCAGTTCTTAAAATTTAGAGCTGAGACTTCCAGTATCCCTCTTTCATTTCCTACCACCCCCCCAAAAAAAACCTGCATCTCTCTCCCAAGTGGCTCTTTTAACTTACGGACTCCGTATGGCCTTTCCCCAGGTGATTTCCGTCCCTCACACTGCACGTGCTCATGTCCTTGCCTGCGAGCTAAGGGTGGCCGCGAGGCTGAGCGACACTTCAGAAAATGTTTTTCCTCTTTTGTGTTGTTTCCTGAATGGAGGAGTTGGTAGTTTCTGACAGTTACTTACCCCATGATCCGTCTCTAATGGCCAGCTGGATTGCTCTGAAAGCCAGGGTGCAGCCCTTGGGAATGGTTATGCTCTGTTTGCTCTTTCTGGTGCCCTGGTCAATGAGAAAAAAAACAACTGTTACTAGGCCTGGACGGTGTGCAGATGTTCGGGAAGGACTGACTCCTGAGCCTGAAGAGAACAAACCTTCGCACAAAACTTGGCGTAAAGCTGGGCCATGAAGCTCCCCTCTGCCTCGCTGGATTCCTCGTAGCTGGTCTCCTCTGCAGCTTCTATTGCTTCATGAACCACGTATAAATTTTGTCGTGTTTTCTGTAGTTGTTGAATGAAGGAGTGATTCACATCCATTTTTCTGAAAGAGAAAAGGGACGTGGTATCTTGGGTAAAAGTGTGGTTTTCTGGGAGTTATGCCGCAAGTACTGTAGTCTGCTCAGAGCCCCAACCTTACGCTGTTACGTGAGTACGTGTACGGATCACAAAGTCTGGGCTTGACTCCATGCTGAAGTGTTCCCCTTTGTGAATTACAAAGAAAGCTAGAAGCATTACAAAGCTGTGCAAGGAATCTTCATCACCTCTCTTTCCTGTCCCCCAGAAGCATGCATCCTTGGGGAGAATGCTGCTCCCAGGTCTTAATCTTGGGTTTTGGCTGCTGAGGAGCCATCGGTGACCTGGCATGGGGTAGAGGAGGGTGGCTGGAGGGGGTGTTCTCCCTTACCTGTGTGTTTTCAGCGCCTGCAGTTTTGGTACTGGGATGTGGTGCTTCTCCAGCTTGATGGCCCACGCCTGGGACAAGGAGGCAGCTCCCTTCAGCTCTACGCTTGTAGGGTCTGCACGAAGGCTCAGGCTCCCATCGACTCTGTCACTGGTGCTTTTTTTGACTGTAAATTGCTTTGAATCTTGACCACCTCCGCTGGGAAGGAGGGACTCTGAAATAATTTGATGCATTAGTGTGGTTACTCACAACTATTACACACACAAGAAAGATGGAACATGTTAAGAGTTCAGGCACACATGATCCAGATATTTTCTCTGTGGAAATTGTGAACTGAAGATTGATGACTGTGGGCTTTACCTGCGCTGTTAGCGTCTCCTCCAGGCAGCAGCACATCCTCGAGCCTGTACCACGTCTGTCTGTAGCAGGGAGATGGGTGGAATATGGCTTTTCTTTTTCTTCTCACTAGACAGAGGGGTCTGAAATGTTCATGGTCCAAGATGCTGTGAACTGGGACCAGGCCTCCTTGTGGATCCATTTGATTTACGATGGATTGGGTGACTTTTTTAAACATTCTGCTGCAGCTGGGTGATTTTTTGAACCAAAGCAAGGTGTAGTTGTGCCTTAGGAAAGAGGCAAGACAAGCTAAGCAGAGTGACTTGAAATACAAGCAGGTGGTTGTAACGAAAAATGTTACTTCAGTTATGAAGAACTTCTCAAAATCGATAATAACGCAAAGAAGCCCACGTGAGTGTTTTCCCCATGCTTCTTGTTGCCTGGCAGACAGGAATGGGTTGGCACTGTTTTGAAATAGAGCATTAGAAAAATGATTTCATCAAAGTTTTAACTGCAAGGAAGTGAAAGTGCTGAGGGGTGAATAGCGGGTTGAGGGGAGAAGTAGGAGAGCTTGGTCTGTGGCCCATCTCCCCCAGGATATCAGAAAATAATCCTCCCAGCACAGCTACTTGGGTATGTGCTGGGGCTCTGCCCGAATCCCCCGCAGAGGTGGGCTGCGTGTTTGAGAGGCAGAAACAAAATCACTGGTTTCCTGTGGCAGCTTGGTTTTACTCCAGAGTTTCAGTTTTGTTTCTTGCTTGAGTTGGCAAACATAAGATGTAATGAAGAACAACTTTCATTTACAAATGAAAAGAATTCCTGTACTTACTGAGAAGAAGAAGAGTGTGCAGATCTTTCCCCTCTTCTGCACCCTACTTTACCGAGTCTTGTTAGAGAAGAGACGCTGATCCCTGTTTGCAGTCCGGGTGAGCGGATGGGGGGGATGTCTTCCCTCTCCCTGATCGCGCAGGGGGCTGAAAGCAGAAAGACTCGCGTAACAAAGGATGCTGTGTTGTGTGCGATGGAGCTGGGCAGGGGAGATAGTCTCGGGTGCTTAATGTGGGATTATTTTAGTGGTACCTACAGGACCCATTCCCTTGGGAGACCTCAAAAAGAGAGAAAGTAAACCACTACACTTAACAGTTTGCTTCACCCCTCTTGCATGCCAAAAGCTCTTAAAATGTACTTGCCTGTCTGTGGAGCAAATGGCTTCTCCTCCGCGGTCAGTGGGCGAAGGGCAGAGCTGCCTGCTGTGCTTCGGGAGCGAGCTAGCCTCTTTAAAGCAGCTGGGCTGGGGAAATGCTCTCTCCCCGCCTTTCCGTTGAGGGATCCGGAAGCATCTGCTAAATTAGGGTGCAGGAAGCCTGTTGCTTGCATAATTCCTTCAAGAAGTTTCAGTCATTGACCTGAGTCACTCTGTCAGGATCTGTTACAGTGGCTGTGGATAACTGTAACTTGTCCTACAGATGTATCGTTCTTATAAGATTAGTTTAATTTCTAGCGTGATTCTGGTTTTCTTTTGTAGTTCTGATCTCTTAGGATGAGGAACAGTGTGCTGTGGTTTAGGAGGATTTCACTAAACCTGAGAGAGGGCTAATTAGGTATGGTGGGGACTGAGGGACAATATTAAGTGTCTGGAGGCACTTTTATTAACTCTTGACCAGTGAGTGATGCACACATTTCCCTGCTTTATGGCTCGCTGTTAGCAGCAGAGGGTTTGTGGGACTCACCGGTGCGGGACCCTGCGAAGGGATCTGTGCAGTGGGCTGCGAGCTCTTGGCTTTACTGTGACCGGTCACTTGGTGGGCCTGGAATTGCCAGATAGTGATTTGCCATGCTTGTTTAAAAGGAAAACCTGTCCATTTAAAACTTCAAGGAATCAAACCCAAGTTTTTACATGAATACTTACTTTATTAGTTTCTCTTAGAATACTGTACAAAGGAGTAATAAAAATATTCACACTTTATTTTAGAAAGTTCTCTACTTGAGACTTCTGTATACACAGCAAAAAGAAGGGCTACTGGAAAAAAACCCTAAAACTATGTACAGTGTCAGAATGTTCCATTAAAAAAACCCAGCTAGTTTAGCTCACTTAAACTGATCCAAGGAGGATACATATCCACAAACACTCGCATGCTTAAACGATTATAGACAATGGAAAAACAACGTAGGTCACGACAAGAAATATTAACGTGTTAACAATGGTAACCAGCTGCTGTCCCCTTTTCAAGGGCCAGTACCATGCTTCTATTAAAACAAACAAAAACTTAAACAATGATTAAAATAAAAAAAGTACTTGGGAATTAAGTAGCCCCAGATCTCAGGCTTTTGGGTTTGTTTTGTTTTTTTTTTTTTTTAAAGGCTTTTTCCTGCAAAGGGCTGGACTGTATGACATCCTGTCAGCTATGTTAAACCAACTGCAAGGCAGGATCCCTAATTCAGAAGCACCAGGCTTGTGCCAGCGCCCCTAAATGGTTCAAGTGGTGGTTTGCAAAAGCTTTTCTCCTTCAGCATTCATGGCAGAACACAAAAGAAAAGCATTTTCAGTACCTACTTGCCCAGTAATTGTTTCTCAGTCACAGCACTGAGCCCACCTTTAATTCTCCAGCTGACGTTGGCCCTAGTCACTATACAGGGAGACAGTACAAGTGTGATGTGATCAAAATCCCATTTAAAATCAATATTGCTCAATTATCTCCTTCACACAGGTGCTTGGAGAAGACTGTACGGCCTACAGGAGTGAATGGCCAGCCTTTGCACTCGTGTTCTGGTTCTCCGCGCCAAAGGTGGGCTGCAGCCCCGGATCACACTGTGTTAGCTGCAGGTACACATCTGAAAGCTACTCACCCTGTCCACGCTGTCCTGATCTCCCTTTTCTCAGAAATTAGTTATCCCATGAGAGCGTTAGTGTTTTGACTATGCTCTTTAACTTCTTTGTGTGCAAGATTAGCCTTCCGAGTGCTGAGCTTGCTTATATAAGAATTTAACAAACACAAACAAACCAGAAGTGGTTTCAGTACAGGGTTCCAGCAGACCCGGAACTGTGTCCGTCACTTCCACACCACTGCAGTGGAGATGGTCAGCGAGAAATTCTGTGACACCAACAGGAAGGAGCCACGCAACTCATGTATGCCCAGCAGTACCCAAAACTCCTTCACTTAAAACTACCTCGGGTACACCTAGCAAGTGGCAATTGCGACTGCGGTTTAATTACAATTAACTTATGGTTTCTTTTCTATTTTTGATTAATTCTGATACCTACCCTTAAGATGGGATCTCAAGGAAGATCCTATCAAATGTATAATTGTTCAAGTAATTATTAATCTTATGTAGATACTTAACACACCACATTATTAACGTGAAATCTTTCTTCAACTCTCTTGCTTCTTTCCATATTTCTCCAGTTTTCATTTATGTTTCCCTTGCTTGGATTAACTGTACGAATCCAAGGTAACGTCAGTTATTCCATGGCAAAATGCTCTCCCTGGGTTGGAAAGAATGTCATTTGCCATGTAACACATCTCTGTGTAATGGCTGGTTTAATCAGTTGTGTGAGCAAGGTCAATCAGAAAAGCTTACTGTTGGAACTAAGGCTTTGCCTGACAAGAAGGTTTAGACTTTAGGCTTTAAAAACTGCCTTTTGGATAAGTTTATAATCCCATTCTGTTTTAGAGTTGATCTTTAATTTAACAAAACAGAATCAGGTGTCCATAGTGTCAGTTAACAGCACAAATAACTTATTCAAATCCTCAGCTGCCTTTAAGGAAGCTGTGTGAAGTGCTGTACTTCATCGAGAAAAGCTGACCCTTGCCTTCAATTTATACTTGTGCTAAAAATACCAGAACTGCTTTGACTTTGTATAATGTGCATATACTTAGGAATAATCAGTATATGCCTGTCTATATAGGAGTAATGTGTTTAAGCATATAGCAACTGTTTCTGTTGCAAAAAAAAAAAAGCTGATGCTGATGTTTTTTGCCCTCATATTCTACCCAAATAAATAAATAGTTTTCTTTCCTCTGGAGATTTACCATTGGCATGCGAGTTGTGTCTGCAGGCAGGCAGACCTGTGTAGAGCCCGCGTTACGGACACAGCCTCAGCCATCCTGCTACCCACAGACTCTGCAGCTCTGAGGGCAGCGGCCTTTCCGGAAGCGTGCCAGGCACTGACACTGTCCATTTCTTAGTCATTTCAAAGGTACGTAGCTGATTGATGAAATATCTCTATTGAAAACAATATTTCAGAAGTCATTGTCTAGTAGCTTAAAGAGTATATTAGCTTTAGGGTATATAGTACCTTAACTAAAGCAGCAGTCCTTATGTCATGGCGGTTAAAAGGTTTAACCCCCCCATCAGGTAAATTGCACATCTGTCAAACTCCCTTGCTGGAGAACAGCACTCGTGCATCAAGCCAGACTCGTTTCGCTTTCTACCTTCTTGAAAACTTCCTTTTCACTTAAAATATTCCCATTTTTCAAACATATTGGGTAATTATTCTCTATGCACCCCAGCAGCCCTCTGAGGTACACTAGATGTTTTTTCCCTTCTCTGCAACAGTCCGATAGTAAGTCCGAGATAAAGAAGTAAAGCAGCTCGCCTAAAACTACGCATGGAGTAGTACTAGATCGTATATGCAACCCTGAAGTTCCCCTGTCCACATCCTATGCTCAGACCATCAGACAGAACTCAGCAATATCCACTATGACCTCTAAAGCTAGAATTGGCTAATGCAGGAACAAAAATAGCATATTTAAAATGTTTATACCATTGTCTTAAGTGAGAGACAATATAAGCACTAAGACAACAAAAATACAGGCTTTCATGAGCTTACAGGGGAAGTACGAGGAAAAACACATTTCATCCGGCACACAACCCAAAAGAAAAACCAATTGCTTTGAACAGCAGAAAGCTATCTCAGCCAGGGAACCTAAACCTGCAAACCTGCTTTATTTAGGTGGTAACTTTATGGGAAAAAGGCTCAATTTTGATCCTATAATAAATAATCTATTATCTTCAGCCACCCATTGCATCCTTCTCTTTGATCAATTCAGTCTGCTGCCGCTCATTAGTATTGCTCTCCTGCAGCTCCCTCGCCCTTGCCAGCGATCACCTGAGGGCTCAGGGGACACTGCTGCAGCACTTGTGCGTGGAGCCGAGTGACAGACTTCCAGGTAAGCCAGAAATCAAACGCTGGCTCGCCTTGAGACAGATACTGCGTTAAATCCACGGTTAACTAGA